AGGGAAAGAACCTCCCATCTGTAGCACTCTTCTTGCCTTAGCAATGAGATTGTCAGTCTGTTCTAGCCTTATTTTCAAAACCACTGGAAGTCATGTGGCAGGCTGTGTGCATTGGCTGTGAGGGATTATAGCACCTCTAGGCAGAACTCTGCTCTAAAGGAGAAGAGCACTTTGTTAATGTGAACCACCTTTCTGGATCACACCCTTTTTAACTGCACCCATGTAATGACCAGCCCCTGAGCAGACAGGGATTCACCTTGGCTCAGCCCCATGGCTTGTCAGGTCCATTACCCTGATAACAGCAGTTACTGCCTCAAGGGAAGAAGCTGTACGGTAGACAGTTTTTCAAACTCAGCTCTGTAGTTTGATTTGAACTAATTTTTCTCCTTGATGCCACACTATTGAGTCACTGCCATATTTTAGGGACTACTCTTAGATTTTTTTTTTGTATTCAGCTGCCTTCTGATTGAGTTTCCAGGCAGACTGAAGGTCGTGTAATGAAGGCTCATAACCTGCTCAAGTTCCTTGTTCACTGTTGCCTGTATATACTGCTGTGAGATTCCTAATAGATTTTCCATACTTGATTAATCCCTCATGTAAGACCTCTTCAGGTATTATAAAGCAGTGCTCGTCCTAGTTCCTTGTTAACTTAGGATCATTTACAAGGGTAATGATGTGCTTGTGAAAAAGCATACTGTACTTGTACCTCAGAATTATGCAGAATATGCATAGGTGAGGAAGAAGCTTTGAGATGGAAAGCTAATTATCTGAAAAGGAATTTGACTCTGCCTCCCCCTAGAACTGTTCTGGTTTTATGGTTGGTATTTTTCATTTGTTTTTTTAATCAATAAATTCTATAGCAGCAGAAAAACAGGCCACCTATTTTGATGTATTTGGTTGCTGAACAAGCCTTCTACAGAATTTTACATATGTATCAATTTTGACATAAGGGTTGCCTGTAAAATGTGTTCATGTCAGAAATCTGAGCAGTTCCTAATGACATGTATGGTTCTGATTTTGATTTGTACTGCAATATCTAACAGTCTTTCTTTTCAACTGTAGAACTATATGAGAAAACGTATGATGGTGAAAAAGTAATCTACTGGGAAGTGAAGTACCCTTTTCCTCTCTCAAACAGAGATGTATCCTTTCAAGCTTTTTGTTCCTCTTGTAGTTTTTGTCACCTGGTCATACAGGGATCCCAATGATGTACTGATTGTACTGCTCAGCTGCACTTGATCTAAGATCTTGCAGTCCTGATATTACATGAATGCGTATAGCATGAAGAAGAGCGTGGGTGCCTCTTCCCACACACTACTAAAGCTCACATAGCTGAATTATTACTCTGCAGGATTGAATCCTGTAGAAGCATAAGAAATAACTTGAAGGGGCTGGTATTTGTAATGGAATTCACTTGTCAATTCATGATATGTCAAGCTGACGTTGTTTTGACATGCCTCCTCAACTTGGAATGCAGTATGTCTATATTCGTGAATGTCGAGAGATGGATGTCGATGGGCGGAAAATCTGGGTTGTGTTAGCTCAAAGTGTGTCTGTTCCTCAGTGCCCTGAAAAGCCTGGTATTATCAGAGTTAAAAGCTATAAACAAAGTCTGGCAATTGAAAGTGATGGCAAGACTGGATCTAAAGGTAAGAAATCAAGAAAGTGTGATCACAAGTCACATAGCCAAAGAATGTATGTATTAGCAAAATGCACAAAGACTGGAAACTTTAAGCTAAAACCGTTACTATAAGTGGATGTAGTGAGCACTAGAATACTTTAAAATGAATGAAAGTTTTGGAAATGTCCACTGCAGTGTGCTACTGTTAAGAATCTTTTATTTAACAGTTGGGCTGTGTAGTTAAGAATAGACTACTGACCACTTCATTCTGCCCAGCCTTCAATTTTTTTTCCTGCCAGCCAGTTCAGTTGGGTAGAGTCTGATGCTAGCTGCAGTCTGGTTAACTTGGCAATGATACAAGCATCATGTTTGACATTGATTTATAGGTTAAAGGGTTTGCCTAGAGATTGACTTCTGTCTGAGATTAATCCTTTAAAAACAACCTTATAAGACAGGCTGCCTAAAATGGTTGCAATAGTCTCAATTAACATTATGGCGCACTCAGCTTCCCAGAGGTTAACTGGAAATGGCTATACTTATTTCACATTCCACTTCAGTACAAGTTGACTTTTTTGTGAAGAATTTAGAGCAGAACTGTTGTACTTTGTGATTCAGTCATGCACACTGACAGCTTCTGTCATATGGTGTTAGAGCTGATACTCAGACTATGGCTGGATAACTTTCTGGTAACTTCTCTCTCATTTCTAGTCTATATGTACTATTTTGATAATCCTGGTGGCATGATTCCATCATGGCTGGTCAATTGGGCTGCCAAGGTAAGTAAAGGTTGACAGCACAATTATCTTTGGCTAAGCTGTTTCAAATGATGTATTCACTGCATCCATATCGGTCTTCTGCATGTTGGGTAGAATTATTTTTTTCTGAAAGCTTTCTAGCACTTATGCAGTCCCATTTTTAGAGTCTTGCTATTGTCTGCTCTCATGGCAATTACCTTAATTTTTTTTTTCTTAACTCCTATCAAATTCCATTGGTTAGTCAACCAGGCAGGTAAATTTGTGCAACAAAACCAACAAATCCATGTTCCAGAGCGTATGTGAATAGCCTTAACACAAGCAAACTTCAATAATGCAGTCTGTTCATGAAGGATTAAAGGAATCGTCTCTTGCTTTGTACCAGATCTTAAAATTGTCCTGTATTTGTTTGAAGGCCTCGATCTATGTAGTGGGAATTCTCATTTTGCTTATAGTTTTTCTTGATTACATTATGCAAGAATGACTTTCCCACTTTTCTATTTACAGAGTGGTGTGCCTACTTTCTTGAAGGACATGCAAAAAGCTTGCCGTAATTATTCTAAGAGCACATAGGTCAAAATTGATCTGAATTGTTTAATTCCTAGAGCTCTGCACTTACAGGAGTGGCTATTATATATTACACTGGATAAAATCTACCTCTAATATTGGAAATAATTTTATTTAGTTGGTTTATGCCTTGAATTTTATTAGATCTTTGATTCCATCTCCAACTGAAGAGCTAGCCATGCACAAGTTAACACCAACATCAGCTGCATGCTTTTGCAAGTAATTAAGTTTAGCCTTGTCCCCCATGCTTTGCTTATGCTGATTGTCGTGTGCCAGCTGGAGGAGTTTTGTTGATTGAAATATTACATCCTTGGACAAGAGACAAGGTTCTTGCTAGGAAAAATGTCTGAACTGGAACTGAAAATTCTCGGTATGTATTATGCCTGGATCTGCCTTTGTGGCCTTGCAGGGTGGCTCCTTACTGAAACTGAATAATGGAGGAGGAAACACTTTTGCTACCCAAGTTTGTCATTCTTAAATTGTCTGCCCACTGTAAACGTAAAAGATTCTGAGGACATCTAGGTAAATTACTAGAAGTCTGCAGTAGGAACTGGAACTCTATGTTACTAAGCTTCCTTGTGATGGCTTTAAGTCCAGATATAAAAAGACTTGTGCCTAAAGCCTTGCATTCACATCTCAATACCCCTGGATGAAAAGTAAAAAGAACATTAGCTGTGTTCAGCCAGGAAAAAAAGGCTTCCATGTCTGATTTAAGAGGAATAAGCTGTATCTTCAGAGTCAGTAGCCCTATCTGTAAAGCAGCTTGGATACCAACTTTAAATTGGAAGTAATTTCAAACTGGATGCCTGCAACTGAGTGAGAATGAACTTGATGTGAAATTTGGGCTTGGTTGCATTTTTAAATTTCATGCTGATGTAAAGAATGAAGCTGTAACTGTGGATAGTAATCCACCAAAAGCACAACTGAGTGGGAAATTAAATTTGCAGCAGCTTTGGGAGGGGGTGGAGTGGGTGTGGAGGATGGAGAGCATAGAAGGTGAGAAAGCCTCAATCTCAGGGATTTAATACATTCTGCATCATTACTAAATCTAATTCTGTTACTAAACAAATCTTGTAATGGGGCATCTTTGTCTTGTTAAAAAATAAATGGTTGAAGTGATTGCCTTTATACTTTGTGTAAATATTTGTTTCCAATAAATCATTATTCTATATATGCAGTACTCTTGTTACGTCTCATGTTTATGAGTGGCTGTGCTGGTCAGGTCACAGATGACAGGCTGATGTCATGGGCTGTTTTATTTTTAAAGGCTTTTGAAAGAATAACTTGGATTCATGAGAGCTAAGTAGGATTCTGTGTGTTCTGAAGAGCTTGCTGCCAGCAGTTTAGGCATTTTTCAAGTGTCTTAGACTTGGAGACCGTTACTCAATTGAATATTACGGTGCTAACAATTCTTGATCTATTTTAAGTTTAGCTGTCACATTTTTTTCCCCAGCAGATAAAGAACAGACATCAAAAGAGAGTACTTCTGAAGCATAATTCTCTTTCCATAAGTTTTGTACACATGCACTTACTGGAACTGGAGCCAAATTTTTATTCATGTGTACTGAAAATGAATTATTTCCATCATACCAAGAATATGATGGTGTTTTACCTGAGTATATAAATTCTCAAATTTCTTTTTTTTTTTTTTTGGCAGTGTTTAGAAAAAGATACCTTTAGAATTCAGTAAGTATTTTAGTAGCGTGCTAAGTGTGTAGGAATTCAAATATCATAAGCAATCACAAGAATACCCGATTTGCTTTTAAACAGGATGTGGATACAAGTTCTGTTCTGAAGCAAAGCAGCAAAGGCAGCACTAGGTAGATTGTTCATAAAAGAAGATAAAAAAGCAAAATAAAGTATTATAGACTTGATACAACAGAATTTAAAAAGGGGACTAGCTGAGGATGAATCTTCCTGCAACAGTGATGCAAACTAATTGATTTCCAATTCCTTCTGAACAAAACTGACCTCTGTACCACAGTAGTACAAAACCTACCTGTAATTGTAAAACTACCTTAAAACTTAGAGTTTCAATGTTTACAAGAAATGTGTACCTAGTGAGCTGAGTATGTGTACAGAGATGTCATGTACAGATGAGGTAATTTTTTTTCTTCCTTTTTCTTGAACCAGTCTGTAATTTTGTTTAGTCCTTAATGAAAGCAGGAGAAAGTGAAAGCATTTTTATATTCAGAAATTCATGATTGCATCTTTGTCATTAACAGTTATTTGTCATCACGACATAGTTTACATTTGTCTGGAGTGGGCTGAAACAGTAAGACTGAGCATTCAAGAGGCTGAATGGCTCCATTGTCAATCTTGCTGAAAACTTGATTTCCTCCAGACCTCACACTGAGAGTATAGAATACATAGCCTTTGCTCACGTATCCTCATTAAAACCATTGCACAGACAGTTTCTTGTGCTGTACACAACTTTACAAATTAAAAGACGTTTGACTAAACAGTAGCTACTGAAAACAGCTTTTCACAAGCAACTCACCAATGATATGAGATGAATGCAACATCGGATCTTCTGTTAAATTTAGGTCCCCATGGGCTCTCATAGTGACTTAAATATGCAGTGGCACTTCAGTTTATTTAAGTATGTGTTACTACACCTATCTTGTTTTACTAGAGAGGAAGAAGCTGTTCCAGCTTTGTGTGATCTGGCTTCTTGTCTAAATGTTGATATTTTTCAGTCTTTGGATGTAAAGACTTTCACAAAGCATTTTAGAGCTTTATCCATGATTATTGAGCTTGTATAAATTACACGTGTGTCATGTGGACTTTTCTGGATAGCTCGAACAGAAATTTACCTGCTGTGGAAGTTGTAAGTCATTATGCATTATGAGTTCTGGTGCACAGGGTTAAAAAAAATGAAACCCCCTTCACATGTCATTTGTTAATGTAGCTCCTGAAGGTTAGCTTTCTGTTTCCACCAGCTTGCCTGAAAATGGAGCTCAAAGTTTGTTCTTTTAGAGTGATCTGCTGTAAACATAGGGCACTTTGAATAAAAAGAATGAAGCATTTCTGTTAGATGATGATTGAGCCTCATCTTCTATATCCCACCCCCATTAACACATCACTAGGTATCACATTCTACAGATTAATAGGGACTAGTGAAGTTTTCCTAGTAGTCAAATAGAACTAGAAAAATGCTGTAGTTTCTGTCAATAAATAGGCATCTGATCCAAAGCACAATAATCAGAATTTTCCATAAATCATAATGAGCTTTGGATCTATTCTCATATAGAACTTTTGTTTTAAAATTATCTGCTCCTATGAAAAAATATTTTTGCATGTTGCTTTTCACATAAGTGATTCTTTTTGGGGATGACTGGTCACCCATCTCCTGTTTCCATAAGGAGTGATGTTGTAACAAAGTGAATATAAACCATTCTTCCACATTGTGTTCTCATCATTCAGACCCATTCTTTCCATGTGATCTCTCTGTGAAGCTATTGTATTTGATTTGGAAAGTAAAGTAAAGGAAAGATTCTGAGTAGCCCAAAGTCAACATGGTGAATGATGTCAGATATGCAATTGCTGTAGTGCTGCCTCTCAGAAGATGATGTGTAAAGGGAAACACAAGTTTTCTTTGCTCAGGAAACATCTGGTTGATACTTCATTTCTCAAGCAGGTCATTGGCTTTTTTTATAATTTAGTGGAACAAAAATGTGGGAGGATAGGGGGAGACTTCTGATATTAATGCACACTAGTAGACCATTTATCTTCCCACCAACAATTTTGCTTTCCATTATGTTAGTTTTCTATGTGTAAAGAACATTTTCAAATGGGCTCTAATGGTATTTAAATTTCACTTAGCTGACAGTAATCTCACCCTGAGCATGAATTTGCCTTCCTCTAGACAGGAGGATAATTCGTAACCAAAGTTACTGCCCCAATGTAGTCTTCTGATCAGAGAAGACTACTAGACTTTTAGACAGAAAACTTTATTTTTCACTCATCTCCTGAAGCTTAAAAGACACTGAAAACTTCCATACAAAAACAGAGAGGAAGGCTTACAACAGGAGGTAAGTTGTTATGAACCTAAATGGACTATGTGGAAAATAAATGCTCTTTGAGGAGCAAGAACAAATCTCTATAGCAAGATGACTTTTGCTGACATTTTTTCATACCACTCTGGCTTATAACTGCAGACTTAGGAGGAATCCTTACCAATAATGTAAAGAAAGCTGGTGTTTAAGCATCCTACTAATTCTTCTCTGCAGCTGCCAATTAATATACGAATTAGGATTACATATGGAGACATATGCAGACATGAAGAGAACGTCATCTTTCTCTGTTAGTTCAGTATTCCCTGTTCTTTGAGAACTTGACCATAAACAATTATTCTCATCTGGAATCTGAATTACAAAAGTATCCTGGAGTCCTGCTGTGAGACAGGAACATTTTAAATGGGAACAACTCTCCACTGGAAACCTTCATTTCCAAAGTAAGAAGAACTGCATCCTGTGAATAAGTGTTTCAGTGGAACATGCCATAATAGGCAATTATGTTGAAGGGCCTTGAATATAGGTATTAATTTTAGCCTTGTGAAAAATTTCCTGCATCTCAGCTGTGCAACTAGTTAAGCTGAAAGCTGTTTCTACATTAAGATTTAAGTGAGTTTGCCTTTATCTGTCCTCATTAGATTCATGCAGATTTTCAGATCTTTCTAAGGCCTATTTCATAACTGCAGGCAGAAAAGGTTCTATTACGGGCTTTGTGATGTTAGAAGAGTCAGTTTTCACCCCAAGCTTAATTCTCTTATTATTCTTCACCTATGGGAGAAACTTCTGAGAATGAATCATTTTAATAGATTGTGTTGTTCCTAGAATGGCAAGTTTTGGATTGTAGCCATTCTTCTATAATATGTAAGGCCAAAGGTTACCTATGTGCTGTACATACTTCCAATAGATGCCTGCTGTTAAGTTACAAGGCTCACTGCATTTCTGCCTGAGCGTATCTCAAAAGGTTTTAAGTCATTTCCTATTTCACTTAGAGTTGTAGGGTCTGGGGCTTTTAATATTCCATGTGCATATACATATCTTCCAAAGTATGATAGAAATTGTGTGTAATTGGCTGGAAATGGATG